GGCACAATGGGAATTGCAGATGGCTTCTGCTTATTCACAGGGCTGGACTCATGTCCGGGACAAGCAGACTCACAGCTGCTGCTGCTGGAAAAAGCCGAGCCTGTGCTGGATTCCTGAGTTTTGGAGGCTGGGAGCAGGGCTGGGCAGGGGGAGGGTGCCAGGCTGTGCGTGCCATCCCGGCCGGAGCCGGCCGCGGGTATGGATCGGCGTCCCGCGCTCTCCAGGGATGACACACTTGCACATCCAGTCGATGTGGCTGACCCAAATACAGCACCCAGCGAGGCAGGCACGGCCCCCTGAGCCAGCTGCCAGGGCCACTCTCAGCCTCGTGGAGCTGATGGGCACAGCAGAACTCCTACGAGCAGCCTGGAGCATCCAGAGCCACGGGATGCTCGGCAGAAAATTCCGTCCTCCCACTCAACTTCCTTCCCAGTGGCAGCACGGGCAGAGAAAAGCCCTGCAGGAGCAAATTTGGCTTTGGCCAAAAGACCTGGAGGAAAAAAATTGGCTTTGGCCAAAAGACCTGGAGGAGCAATACCATGGTCAAAGAACACTGGCACGGATCCATTTGAGTCCCACATGGATCAGTTATCCCAGGGAGGGTTTTTGGCTGCTGTGGGATAATGGGACCTACCTGTGGTGGGTGTTGGTGGTGCTGGAGCCTCAGTGTGAGGTGGCAGCAGCTGGAGTGTGGTGGGCACCTCCCTGTCCCTGTGGGAGAGCACAAGGGACATCAGGACACACCAGCATGGATCACATCACCCTGAAAAAACCCCTGGACCCACATGGCTGGGGAAATCCACCCCAAGCCCACCTCCTTCTGCTCCCAGCAGTTCCACTGCTCTTTATCCATTTTGGAGCAGCTGGGAGCTGCCAGTGGTTTTTGCACCCTGGGGGATTGGGGAACACGGGCAGGTGGCTCCACTGTGGAGGGATGAGGATGAGACCCCAGTTCCCTCTCTCCTCTTTGAAGCCATGCAGGCAGCAAGAGGATTTCCTAGATGTTTCCTTCATGGATACAGCAGGAAAGCTATCTTTGACCAAAAAAGGTGGCAATTAACAGCCTCCCCCACTGAACAGCCTCTCCAGAAGATCCCAGGAGTTTTTTCCTCCCAGGATAACTTCTGGCAGCACTCAGACACCCACAGCACACCCTCCCCCTGCCCCACCACGAGCACATCCCCTCTCACTTCCATACCTGGCTGCTCAATCCCGGCGCTGCCGTGGGAGACGCGCACGCGGAGCGAGCCGGATGCTGATGGACAAGCAGGAAAATCAGGATTATTCCTGCTCCTTCTTCCCCTCCTTGCTCATTTTCTACGCCTGCTGCCCAATTATCTGCCAGGCCAGCTCTGCCCCGCGGTGCCTTTCTGCAGTGGAATGGAAGGAAGCCTGAAAATCAGAGCTGCCTCCAACGGCACTGAGATGCCAAGGAAAACCACGGCAAGGACGAGTCTCTGGGCTCATCAGGATGGGGGGAAATGGGCTTTGGGCTAATGTTGGCTGCTTCAAGGTGTCCTGGAGCGTGGCTCCAGCTTTTCTTGGGTGGTTTGGGCTTTGGGGAATGCCTGCACAACATCCTTCCCAGGCAGGGGCTGGGTGCTGCTGGGTCAGAGCAGAGGCACCGCAGAGTTCACTCCTTGAAGGAGTGTTTCTGTTGCCAAACAGCTTGGGTTGGCAGGAAAATTGAAAAAAATGGGGGAAAATAATCAGCTCCTGCCCCAAAAGCAGCATGTCAGCCTGGATTCAGCAAAAAACAATGCAATGACTGCAAAGCAACAGCTTTGAAGCAAAAGTGCTACAGGGCGTTGTTATTTTCTTGGCATTGGCTCCAAAATATGCTCAGCCAGAGACAAGAGAGCTCCCAGGGCAGGTTTTATCCCAGCTTTTACCATCCCCTGCCCTCCTCTTCCTCCCCCAGCATCCCTCTCCTGCAGGGATGTAGGTGCTGCCACGTTTCCCAAAGCATCTCAGCTGAAAAAAGCTGAAGTCTGTCCAAATTTATCTCAGTCTGACAGAACAGGGAATATTTGGTTATATAAAATCCCTATTTCTGACATTTCTGGCAGCAACCCAAGAGCAGGCCTGCTCCTTTACTTACGTGTAACCCAAGATGGGAACAGCACCTTCCTGCCTGGGACATCTGGGTGGGAAAATGTTCCTCCAGGAGGAGCATCTTTAATCACAGAGAACCCCTGGGCTGGAAGGCTCCTGTATCCTCACTTTTCCAGTGTGATCCCTCAATCCCAGCCCTACATGGAGCACTGGGAGCAGATGTTTGCAGTTGTGGAGAACCTCAGCATGGTCTTGCCTGCCCCAGGGATGTGGGAATGGGATACCTTAATGAGCCAGTACCAAACCCACAGAGCCAGAGAGGCATTTATGGGCTGCAAACCAAATTAACAAAATAGACATCCCATATTTGAGGGTGCAGGAATTAAACTCACTTCAACAAGTGCCTTCGTACCCACCCAGGGATTCGATGCATAGCACAGCCCCTCCAAAACACCAAACCTGGAGAGGGGCACCCAAAATGACTCCCTGGAGATGCTCCCCAGCTGTGCCACCTGCCTGGGCACCAGCCTGGCTCCACCACTCATTCCCACTCCCTCTGTTTCCCACTGCCATCCCGTCACCTCGTGTTAGCTCTGGCATTCCAGGCGTTCTCCATCTGCTCCATCACACACAGCAGCGACAGCAGGACACCCCACCGGGCTGGGACATTTTGGCCCCTGAAGAAGGGGGACACAAACCATCCAAAGGGGTTGTTCCCGTTTCCCAGGAGCTGCCCTGGCTCGCGTTCCGCTCACCTGTCCCGCCGGGATGAGCCGAGGCCGGGCCGGGGGCGCTGGCAGGAGGGATGGGCAGGGCCAGCCGGGCTCTTCCATCGGGTGACAGCCCCGCAGGTGCCACGCGGTGGCCGCAGAGCCCCGGAGCGAGGCGGCCGCCGTGTCCTGCTCCTCCTGCTCTGCTGCTCCACGACTCCAGAGCATTCCCGCTGCCGTTCCTGCCATCTAGAGGGGACCTTTTCCCACTGCAAGCGCGTCCCTCAAATTGTAACGAAATGCCACCATTCAGAAGGAAAAATAATCAGAGCCCAATAATCAGAGCCCGTCGTTTGATGGCACAGGAAAAGCCTGCGTGGTTCACACCACGAATCCATGAATCCACACAGGATTCTCCTCATCGTTTAGCCAATTCCAGAACCAAGCAGTGGGAATCCCACAACAGCATGTGATATTTTCTAGGAAATTTAGGAAAGATGTATCAAACCAGTCCAAGAAAGGTAAACAAGCAAAATAATCATCAAATCATGGCTGTGAATTAAAGGCACTAAAAGGGTGGCCCCAGGGGGGTTTCTGCTTGTTGTCCATAAGGTGGATGGAGGTTTGGAGATGATCTGGACCAAGAGGTACTGCAGAGCAGCTGGATAAACTGGAGGGATGGGATGTCAAGTGGATGAAACCCGAAGATGGAGTGTTTAGGTGCAAAGCTGCTCTGGTAAGATGTGGTTTGGGTGAGAAAACATCCCAGCCTGGCACTGCAGGGCCCAGCTGCTCGTGGGCTCTGGGGGGAAAAGCAGCTGAAGTCACCCCTGTGGGACAGGAGCTCTGACAGACAGGTCATCCCATGGAATGGAATCACACAAGGGTTTGGGTTGGAAGGCACCTCAAAGCCCATCCTGTTCCAGTTCCTGCCATGGCAGGGACACATTCCACTGCCCTAGGCTGCTCCAGCCTGGCCTTGGGCACTGCCAGGGATCCAGGGGCAGCCACAGCTGCTCTGGGAATTCCATCCCAGTCCCACACCACCCTCCCAGCCAGGAATTCCCAGTTTCCAATCTCCCATCCATCCCTGCCTTCTGGCAGTGGGAGCCATTCCCTGTGTCCTGTCCCTCCAGGCCTTGTCCCCAGTCCCTCTCCAGCTCTCCTGGAGCCCCTTCAGGCCCTGCCAGGGGCTCCGAGCTCTCCCTGGAGCCTTCTCCTCTCCAGGGGAACATTCCCAGCTCTCCCAGCTTGTCCCCACAGTTTTCACATGTGAGAAGCCAGCCCAAGGACATTCAGGATATGTCCTGCTGGAGGGACTGAAGGGCTTGGAAGTTTGACAAAAACATCAATGTTAAAGCTGAAGAAAACTTGGGAAATGAAGTGCAAAGCTCTCTAAGTGTCAGAACAGAGACCTGTACAAGCAACAGTTATGGATGCAGAGGATTCCCCCCAGGAAAAGGGATTTTGTTGTTGTCTTCAAGCCCAACAGCTTCTCTGCAGCCTTCCAGGAGGGCTCAGCCCTTTGGCAGCTCCCAAAGAATCCAGAGGTACAAACCTGGGGGAGCACGTGCTGAGCAGGCAGCGAACAGAAGCACAAGCATGACCAGGTTTCCTTTTCTTTCCTTTTAATATAAACATTCTAGGGTGGGTTGGGGGTAGGAGCAGCTAAAGGGAATGTCTTGTGGAATAAAACGCTGCGACGTGCTTCGGGAATGATGTGCAAAATTGAAACGCCCAAGCAGGGCCAGCTCAGGACTTCCTGGATTCTTGGGTCTTCTTGATTTCCTGCAAGGAGATCAGGGAAGAGACTGAGAATCTGCCACTCCATGGGAAACAGCTCTTGGTTTCACAGCGTGGGAGAGCAGGAGTGACCAACAGCTCAGAGCAGTTCCACAGCATGACAGGACCAAGCCCTGAGTTCACCTTTAGGGACAAGGCAAGGTTTGACTTGGAAGCTCCAGAAACAGGAATCTCCTTCTCTGCTACCCAGGGGTGAATGTTTATTTTGCCCAAACTCAGGATTGAGTTGGATTAATTTCCCACCCTCAGGCCACAGATCCATCATCACTTGTACTCAATCTGTCCCTCAGCAGCTCAAAGCAGACCGAGTGTGGGATGAGGTGACATTTCTGTGGCTGCCTGAGAACAGACCCTCACCTCTCTGGCCCAGGAGTGAGGTGGAAAAATCCCCAAGGACTCACCTCCAGCAGGACCTCCTTCAATTCGGAATAGGCCTTTTCTAAATCATCATTGATGATGACCAGGTCGAACAGCCCAGGCTCTTTACCTGGGGAAGGAGATGAGGACAGAGTTAGAGGACAATTTTTCTTCCCTGTGTCAGCTCTCATGCATGAAGTCCCATGGCATTTTAATATGATTTTTTTAGTATTATTATTACATCAGCTGCTGCTAATGAACTGCTCTGCCAACCTCCCCCGAGGAACTGCAGTGGGAAATGCAGCAGTGATCCAACTCAGCTCATGGCAAGCCCTGCTGGAGAGCACAAACCAGATTGCTCCCAAATCACCCAGGCATCCCCTCCCAGCACACACCACTGCAAGGACTCACTGAGCTCCAGGTCCACGCGGGCTGCAGTCAAACGCCTCTGTAAACTCTCCTCTGTCTCCGTCTTTCGGTCCCGTAGTCGTTTCTCCTAAACCCAGGGACAGAGACATTAAGGAAGGGAGTGTTTTGAAAGCTGCAGGCACAATCCACCCCCACCCTCAGGCTGGTGCTGTCTGTGACCACGGGCACGTGAGAACACCCTGCAAAGGGGGTGAGGGGCCTCACAGGCCAGTGCAAACCAGTGGCCAAACTGGGCTTGACATCTCCTACCCACAGTTCAGGGTCCCAGGTTTCTTTTACCTCCCTCTCATTTATTTATTTTTCCAGGTACTGCTGGAAATGAGATCTCTCTGCTGGGCTCTGGCATCTGGTGCTGCTGGCTTCCTCCTCCACAAACTCAACGAGAAACAGAGCCTGCCTGATGTACTGAGAGCAAGAGGGGAGAGTCAGGAGTTGTCCTCACGTGCCCTCATCCCTCTCTGAACCACGACAGTGATTCCACTGCTTGCAAGAGTCCCACTGCAATCACTTACATAGGGTAAGACCAGAGGGGCACAGAATTTAAGGTGCTGCACAGAACCAGCCTCCCTGTGTTTAATTTTAACTGTGGAGCCAAATCTCAGCACAGCACAAAGCACAATTAATGCATTTAAAGACTGGTGGAGCCCATAACCAAGGCGTAAAAACCACTGAGGAAGGACTCAAAAACCAAAACACAGGAAGAGGAGCTGGGCTGGGTGGTGCTGAGCTTGGGAATGTCCTCCCCACCTAGAGCAGGGCCCTGCTGAGGGGAGGGGGAGCCGTGGCTGCAGAAGCTGATTACCTCTAACTGCTAAGGGCAAAGCAAGGCGGGCGCTCACCAGGATCTCAATGGACGGCGGCTGCACCGAGATGTAGATGGGGTTCAGCTCCGTCTTCTTGATGTTCTTCACGCCCTGGATGTCGATGTCGAGGACACAGATCTGGTTCTGGGCCTGCACGGCCTGCACAGCTCCTTTACTGGGGGCACAGCACACAGGGAGGGGGTCAGAGCCCAGCGGGGTTGGGGTGTCCCCTCCGGCAGCGGGGGGACCTCACAGGGCTCCCCGGAGTGTGGCAGGAGAGGACAGAGCCTGCCCTGCTCTTGGTAAAAGTTTCTCCAGGTGTCACTGCTCTGGGTGCAGCAGGAAGCTGCTGTCTCCTGCTAGAGAGGCTGGCAAAGCCACGCTGGAAGGTGTGGGGATGGATCATGTGTGACTGTTCCACAGGATGGGTGGGATGTCCATGAACTCCTGCCTTGGCAGAGCTTCACCACCTGGAGGGAACTGCTCACGGCAGGAGGTTGGAACTCGATCTTAAAGGTCCCTTCCAACCCAAACCATCCTGGGATTTTGTGACAAACATGGAATCAACCTTCACCAAAGAGCAAAACCACTGAGAACTCCCCTTCTCTCCACTGAGATCCACTTGCTGTCCTGAAGGATGCTGGATGGACATGGATGCTCCATCTGGGTCAAAGATGCACTTAATTCTCCACTTAATTTTTCAAGTGGCGGCTTTTCTATGCTGTAAAGACAATTTATCTTTCTCTCTTCCTAATGGGGAATTACCTCAAGATTTTTAATAATTTATTATAATTCACTGATGACTTAGGGAGCACAAAGGATTGGTGAGAACTCCAACTCTTCTGCTAAGCATGAGGGACTCTGCATTTATCCCACATCTGAGCAGGAACATCCTCAGGGGCTTGGAGAGATTCTGTATTTATTTTCTGGCATCCCAGAATAGTTTAGATTGGGAAGGATCCTCAAGACCATCTAATTCCAGCCCCTGTGGCACAGGCAGGGACACCTGACCTACCTTGTCCCGTACATGTTCCCGGAGAACTCCGCGTGCTCGATAAATTCACCAGCATCAATTTCCTTCTGCATTTCCTCTCTGGACACAAAGTGATAATCTGGAGAAGGGAAAATGGGAAATTTGGACAGAAATTAACATTCTGAAGGTAAAGTTCATGGTCAAAATGACACCCGTGGGTTTTTGGGGGAGAAGACACTAAAAATCTGTTTTAGACAAGGATTCACTTCCTACTTCCACACCCGTTGTCCAAACACCTGCTCAGAACTTTCTGGAGTTTTCTGTGTGGCCAAAAACGCTGCTCTACCCCATTTTTTATATCCTTTCCCATTCCTGGTGCAGTGGGAACATCTCCTCCCTTGCCTACAGGTGTGGGACACATTACAGCAGGAATGGTAAGGCCTTTCATTTGAAAGGATTTCTAATTAAAGACCAGAATGGGATGAGAGAGAGGGAGATAAAAGGGAACATCAAAACCAAACTAACTAAAAAGGAATATTTCTCAATCTTCTGTTGAAATTCCTTCCTGTTACTTCAGGAAGAAAACTGCCATTGGAAATTAAGAACCAACTTAATTTGGTTGTTTCTTAAATAGGCAAATACATGAGAAAACAGCTGGGCACAAATAATTAATACAGCTAAAACCATCTCATTAAGCAGCTGCACTTCCCAAAGCCACGGCCATTGGAGATCTCCTCAGAACTACCTGGAATTTTGGAAAATCAAATCACCCAAGTTCAGAGCACAGTACCCAAAATGAGAGCCCAGCTCTGAAAACCTGAGTTATCTGGAGAGTCCAGTGAGACAGATCTGACTGCAGCAGGCTCACCTTTGCCATTCACTTCTCCAGGTCTCGGCTGCCTTGTGGTGTCTGCAGGGAAAAAATAGAAAATAAAAGAAAAAACCGCCTTGTACATTCTGTGCATCACCCATAGGTGTTGTAGGATCAAAGAAATTCCAAGGTCTAAGCAGCATGTGGATCTCTAGGATAAAAATCTCCACCAAGAGGCAGTTTGGGAGGAAATAAGGTTTAGTTTGGAGTGAGATGAGAGATGTTCCTTGAAAAAGGAACACAGGATGTCACACACACACACAAAATGGATAATTTTAAGTTTTTATCTCCTCCCATAGCATTAGATTTTTAAACATTCAGTATTTTATTCTTTCATGGTGGAATGAATCCAGATCTCAAAGCACAGATTTCACTTGCAATACACAAAGTGTTGGGACATTAAAACACGTTTTGGAAATGGACCTAAAAACACCTTACAAAGCTCCATGGAAAAAAATCAAATGATCAAATGGCTTTTTAAGCAGAAATGTGGGGGGATTTTGTTACTTTCACAGTCAAGAATCACTAGGAAGAATCTTGTTTCCTCTCTGAGCTGTGTTTAGAGATGTGGGGAGTCACTAAACCTGGGAAGTTTACAACACCAAGAGTAAAAGGTGCCCTGAATTATTTAAACATCCCAAAGAGCTCACAGGCAGACTGGGACACAGCCAAACCATGAAAAGCCATTATTTGGGGTATAAATAGAGGGAGACTCTGAGCTGGCACTGCTGAGCTCCTCAGCCCAGCCCTGGATACTCACGGGAGACGCTGAAGCCGAAGATGTTCTCATAATCTTTGAGCAATTTCTTTAACAAAGTGCTTTTCCCTGCACCTGATGGGCCACTCAGAACCACTGGCCTTGGTCCCTGCATGACTGGGGAGAGACAGAAAAATGGGTCTGGTTAGAAACACCCATGGAAATGCAGCTGTGGATTCCCAAGAGTGCTCAGCCCCTCAAAACGGCACCAATCCTTTACCCTTGGGAACAAATTTCTGCAGGAAAACCTGAAATGAGGCAAAAATCACAAGCCCAGAGCTGATAAAAAGTACTGGGAGTGCAGGAACATTTCTCAAGAGACAGAGGTTAAACTCATAGGATGTAACCCAAAGAAGGAGGAAACTGGGATGGTTGAAGCCAGCTGTTTTCCATCACAGCTGGGTCTCACTGGGACCAAAATCCCAAGGAAAACTCTCTCTAAAAGGAACAAAATCCTATTTGTGCCTGGGGGCATTTGGAGTCATGACACAGAGGAACAGTCCCAGTGCCTTCCCTCTCACAGGGGGAAAGGAGCTTTAAGCAGAGTTTGCAGATAAAACTTTGCATCACCAACCCCCAAACCCTTGAACAGCATCAGGTGCAATCACTGCCAGGAGCATGCCCAGGTGTTCATCCCCACATTTCCTGAAGCACCAACTCCATCTGCAGGTGTTCCATGGCAAGAAAGAAAGAGATCCCAGAGATCAGATCCTGGTACAGGTGAAGAAAAGGCAGCCTGGGGCCACACAACTTGCTGCAGTTGTTTCTTCAGCCAGAAAGAAAAAAAAAAAAAGAAAAATAAAAAGTGGTGTCATGTTCCTTTGTCTCTGGAGAGAAGAAAGGTTAATTATCCACCTGGGAAAAAGACGAAATGCTGTGCAGAGGTGTGGGAGTACCACAGGGACCCTCATCCATCAGCAGCTTCCAAACCAGAAGTGATGGCGAGAGCGGAACAAATCAAACAAGTTCTTCCTAATTAAAAAGCTACTTTCAGCAAGCAATAAAATCATTTCCTCATCCTCCCGGGCTGGGTGTGGCCCGGCAGCCACCAGCCAAGAGGCAGCTCATGCCTTTCCATTTTAAATTAGCTCACAGCAATGTCACCCCGACCTTACACACCGCTTTTCAAGCAGCCCTAAGCCAAATGCTGTCTCACCGAGCGGCCGCGGGCTAATCCCGCCGGGACCGGACCCGGCCCCAGCCCTCAATCCCTCAATCCTCCTCCCTCGACAGCCGGAGAATTACACAACTTTTCCTTCTCCTCCCTGAGGATCCTCGTCTGACCGCAGCTCATCCCAGGCTGCGCCGAGGGTCGGGGTTTAACACAAAGGATGAGGAGGTGGCGGCAGCGGCAGCGTGGGCGGTGAAAACACCCACGGTCCATAATCATCCATACGGAAATTCCTTTATTCCTTCTTTTTTTTTTTTTTGGTTAGTGCCCTCAGAAGTGCTGCAGCCTCAGAGATGCAAGAGATGAAATCTTGGGAAGACCAATCTCATCACCACAGTGCCAGATTAGGCTCCATCACCCCAAAAACAGAAGGCTGAACAAACTCTAGGGAGTCCTCTGGGGGCTTTCCTACCATTCCCTTGGTCCTCAAACTTCTGTAATTTCCAAAAAAAATCAGGTTTTGCGTAAATGTTCAATAGCAGAAGAAAGCACCAGGGAAATGCTACTCAGTGCTTGCAGCAAGGGAGAAGAGCAGTTACCCAAAGCACTTCCTTCTCTCTGTCCCTCACAGTTCTTCTCTCCCACATAATTCCATCAGGTGAGGTCTAAGCATTCCTTGGAAAACACTCCACACAAATTCCCCACCCTTGAGACATCCCCAAGTGTTTCACAACACATCTGCCCCCAAACAATGCTGCTCATCACACACCAGCTTGCACAAGCACCCCAAAACCCCCCCCAAAGTGACAGCCTGGATTTCCAGGTTCCCTTCCAGGACCCAGCTGTGCCAACAAGATGCACAAATCCCAGTCCCAGATCCCAGCCAGAAGGAAAAGAGCTTCCCCCTCATCTCCCTCAAAACGTCATGCCCTTAGCAAACATCAGCAGAAATGTGAAGCTGCCCAAATCACTTCCCACCATTCCATTCCACCCCAGACAAACTGGGCAGAGGAATGGGCTGGGAGCAGGCTCCAACACATCCCTACCTTTTCCCTGTGCTCCCTTCCAGCCAAAGCAAGCAGTGGCAGCAGCACAGCTCCTGGGGACAGAGCTGGGCTATTTGTGAGCTCCTAAAGCCTTAATTAACGAGCTGCAATTTGAAGGTGGCCAATGAGAACAACCCTGCTGAGCTTTAATCTCCCCCGGGTTCCTCCTCCGCTCCCTGCTCTCCTGGCTGGCAAAGCTGCAGCCCACAGCCCCAAAAGGCTGAGGGGTGCCAGCCCTTGCTGGGCTGGGATTATGGAAAACAGCAAAGCTGCTCCTGTCCCTGCAGTCCCCAGGATTCTGTCTGTGTAGAATCCCGGAGTGGTTTGGAAGGGACCTTCCAGAACATTAATTCCACAGCCCTGCCATGGGCAAGGACAGTTTCCACTAGGCCAGGCTGCTCCAAGCTCTGTCCAACCTGGAACACTTCCAGGCACTTTCCTTCTGCAGGAGCACTGCTCTCCCTTTGGACCAAATCCACACAGCTCCACGACCACAAAGATGGCAAAACTCCTTCTCCTGCTCAGATCAAGCCACTCCCACAGTGGGACCCTCTCCTCCACTTCACTCCCTTTTCCCTCCCCAAAATACTCAAAATTAAGAGAAAAGACACCTGGGCTGTGGTCACGTCTCACTTCTTTCACAACAGTTAAAAATAAACCTAAAGACTTGCAGGTGTTTCCTGCTGCCTCCCCGGTGAATCCTTCTCCTGCTGCAGATCTGCAGAGGAAAACTGACAGTTAAAAATAAACCTAAAGACTTGCAGGTGTTTCCTGCTGCCTCCCTGGTGAATCCCTTCTCCTGCTGCAGATCTGCAGGGGAAAACTGGGAGGGAACAAAAGGCATTTCCACTCGCAGGGAATCCCACCCTGGGGCTGGGGCCTCACAGGAGGAAAGATGGCAAACTGGGAATTCCACAGAATTCCAGAATGGTTTGGCTGGAAGTGACCTTAAAGCTTGGCAGGGACACCTCCCACCGTCCCAGGTGCTCCAGGACACTGCCAGGGATGGAGCAGCCACAGCTCCCAGGGCAATCCCAGGATGTTCCTGCCCTCATTCCCTGCCAAACACCACAGGTAAAGAAACCCCAAACCCCAGATCTGGTGGATATGGGGCTGTTTTCTCTCTCCTGTTTGGTTCCAGGAATGCTCTGGTGCATCACATTTCCAAGCTGGCTGCAGCAGGAATGTCACAAAGATGTGTTTATTTTAGGCAGATCAGTTTTTTATTCCCCCTTTTGTCAGATTTTGGCATTTTCAGAGCAGCCAATCTGCAAATATCCAGCACAGAGGGTTTCCTAAAAATGGGTTGGGATCCAGCCTAACCCACCAAAACCACTGCAGAGCTGATCAGCAAGAGAACAGCCCAACTCATTAACAATATTAATTATCTCCCACACCTGGCCTGAGGACAAACAGCCACATAAACCCCTCTGGGCTGCAGAAAGACAAGCTGGTCACAGGAGGTTGTCCCCAAGGCAAGGAATGGTTCCTGCTAAATTCACCCTGGATTTCACCTCACAGCTGGCAACGTAACCAGGGAAGCAAAGGACAGACATCACAAGAGTTAAACAAATTAAAACTGATTAGCAGAGAGGCTTTACAGGGAAGGCAAAGCCACCTTATGAAGAAGAAAAGAAGATTAAAGCACGGTTTCCCTGGAGCCTTGAGAAAGGTCTCCTGGATTAGGATTATAATCCCACCCCTATTTTTAGCAGCTTTGTTATAAAGGTGCCACCCCCACCTTTGTAAGATTTGGGACAGGTTCCAAAAAGGGAGAGAGCTGGGACACACAGGGAATTATCTGCAGGGATCTGATTCCATGAGGAGCAGAGCATCCCACAGCATCCCACAGCTGGAGCTCAGCCACCTTTTTCCTGGAAATAATTACCTACAAAGCACTAATTAGCCTCTCCACTGCAGGGATTGGTGGTGCTGCAGACACAGCACAAACCACTTGCTCCAGGTCACTGCAGAAACCAGGGAGGTCCAAACCCATTATTCCCAATCCATGTCCTCCTGTAAACCAGGGCAGCTGAACCCACCAGGAGGATGAAACCAGTTCACCCACCTGGGAAAACTCTAGAGAGGTGAAGCTCACACAGCTGTGGTTTTGCCATCCACTTCCCCACACGTGTTTTAGGATTCCTAAAGCCCTCTTACCTCACCCTACCCCACAGACTCCCTCAGCACCTCAGTGTCCTGGCATCCCCAGCCGAGAGACCCCCATGGGCACTCAGCAGCCTGGGACCCCTCAGAGGGGCTGAGGGCCCTCAGTCCAGGACCCTGTGAGCAGCTGAGCATCCTGGGGGCAGCGGGACCCCCTCAGCCCAAGGGCTTCGTGAGGGGCTGAGCACCCAAAGCCAGCCAGGACTCCTCCATGCAGAGCCCCCAGGAGGGGCTGAGCACCCCAAGATCAGCCAGGACTCCTCCATGCAGGGCTCCCAGGAGGGGCTGAGCTCTCCAGAATCAGCCAGGACTCCTCCATGCAGAGCCCTTGTGAGGGGCTGAGCACCCCAAAGCCAGCCAGGGACTCCTCCATGCAGAGCCCCTCAAAAGGAGCTGAGCACCCCAACATCAGCCAGGACTCCTCCATGCAGGGCTCCCAAGAGGGGCTGAGCACCCCGGGACCCCTCAGCAGAGGAATCCCGTGAGGAGCTCGGCACCCCAGGGCTCCCTCAGCCAAGGGCCCTCGTGAGGGGCTGAGAACCCCAGAGCCGGCCAGGACTCCTCACTCCAAGCCCCCGCGAGGGGCTGAACGCCCCGAGGCCAACTCAGCCGAGGACCCCTGCGAGTGACGGAGCTGCTCGGGTTAGAACGCGCTGTGTCACGGTCCCCGTGGGGGTCCCGGCCCCATCCCCGCTCACCCGCCCGGGCGATCCCCGCCCCGCGCATCCGCCCGAGGATCATGAGGGGACGGGGGGGGCGCTCCCGGCAGCCCCCGCGCGCGCCCGCCGCCACCGCCGCGCGCCTGACGTCACCGCGGGGGCGGGGCCCCGGGGGAGGGAGGGAGCGCGCGTCACGTGAGTGCGGGGCGGCGGGACGGACCACGCGGCGGGGGTGAGCGAGGGGCTGAACCATGATGGTGGATGGAGTTGGGGGAGAACGGGGGGGACAGCATGGGCTGAACCGCGGCGGTGTTGGGCAGAACCACGCTGGGGTGGCGGGAGCCATAGTGGGGTTGAACCGTGGCTGGAGAGAGGCGGGAGGGCTGAACCAAGGTGGGTGTGTGGGGGGGAGGCACGATGGGATTGAACCATGACGGGGAGAGGGGGGAGTTGTCATGGAAGTGACCCATGGCTGGGCGGGGGGAGACGTGGTTGGGCTGAACCATGGCGAGAATGGGGGGAATAGCGGGAGGGCTGAACCAAGGTGGGTGTGGGGGGAGGCACGATGGGATTGAACCATGACGGGGAGAGGGGGGAGCTAGCACAGAGCTGACCCATGGGCAGTGGTTGGGATAAACCATGGCGGGAATGTGGAGAACCATAGCGGGGCTGAACCATGGCGAGGGCGGAGACGTGGGGCTGAACCATTGCGGGAGCGGGGGGATCCATACCATGGCGGGAGCTGTCATGGGGCTGCTCCGTTCTGAGGAGCGGACGTGGGAGCTTCACAGTGCTGGCGACACGGCGCTGTCACCCCGCAGACCCTTTCCTTGTCGCCAGAGTGTCCCTAGGTGTGTCACCTACTCCGCGCACCGCAGCCGTCCCCCCCGCTGCGGGCCGCGATGGCGGCGAGCCGGGCTCTGAGGTGAGCGCGGGCTGAGGGAGCGCCCTGCCGGGGCTGCCGGGGCTCCCTCACGGTGACACCGCCTGTCCCCCGCCTTCCCCCGGCAGTGCCCTGCTGCTCCGGCCGCCGCTCGCTGCCCGCAGCAACTCCAACCGCGCCGCCATCGGGCACCTGCAGCGGCAGCGCTACGGGCGCCTCTACCCGACGCTGCTCGTCAGCACCGACGGCTCCACCGTCCGCCTGCGCTACGGAGAGCCCAAGAGGATCCTCATGGTACGGGCACGGCGGCGTGGCTGTCACAAGGGTTCGTGGTGTGTGCCGGGTGTCACACCCTGTCCCGGGGTCTGGGAGCTCACAGCGTGTCCCTGGGATCGCAGACTGTGTCACACCATGTCCCCCTGAGCTCACACCGTGTCCGTGGGAGCTCATCCTGTGTCCTGGGGGTGCCACGCCATGTCCCTAGGAGCTTATACCGTGTCCGTGGGATCTCACCCTGTGTCCTGGGGGTGCCACACCATGTCCCAGGGATCTCATGCTTGGTCCCGGGGCACCACAGCACATCCTGGGATCTCACGCCATGTCCCTAGGAGCTTATTCCGTGTCCCTGGGATCTCACCGTGTCCTGGGGGTGTCACACCATGTCCTGGGAGCTCCCCCCATGTCCCCGGGGAATGTCACACCTTGTCCCAGGGGTTTCATGCCTTGTCCCAAGGCTTCACACCGTGTCCCAGGGGTGTCATGCCGTGTCCCAGGGGTGTCACACCGTGTCCCCGCGGTCTCATCCCGTGTCCCCAGATGCCCCTGGACAGCAACACGCTGCCCGAAGCCGAGCGCAAGGCTCGCCTGCGCCGCCACTTCCCCAGCAAGCCTAAGGCCAAGGAGGAGGAGACCTTTCAGGGCATCGACCTGGACACCTACAAGAAGTTCTGGAAGAAGTGAAGCGCTGAAACCAGAAATATTTAAATTTATAAATAAACGTATAAATAAAAATATACGAGTACAGCCGTGTGTGGGCGGTGCGGCTCTGGGGCTCCCCCCGCGCTGGGCGGCGCGGTGGTACCGCCCGTCTCTCTCCCCCCCCCGGCCGTGCCCGCGGTGGTAGCGGCGGGGCGGGCGCGCGCTCGGCGGCCGGAGGTGCGTGAGGGGAGCGGGGGCGGCTTGGGGGATTTTGGGGAATTTTTGGGATTTGGGGGGCTCCGGGTGCGACCCCGCGGGTACGGTCCTCGCAGTCCCCAACCCGGAGGGGCCCGGGCTGCAGGGAACCGCCCCGAGCTGCTTTCACACGCCTCGGGGACGGGCAAACTCGCAGCTCAGGCCCTGCAGCTTCCCCCTGCCCTGAGCTCCTTCCCAGACCCTGAAGCTCCCCCAGGTAATGCCCCACCCCGGGCCGTGCAGCCTCCCTGCCCAGCCCGCCCCAGGCCATGATCCCTTCCTGCAGCTCATCCCACCCAGGCTGTGATCCCCTCCTGCACCCTCCATGAACCCTCTCCCCTTGAAGCCCAGAACCCCCATGCGGGCTTTAAACCCCTCCATAGACCCTGAACCTCCTCGCAGACCCAGAGCCTTCCCACTTTAGTCACGGGCTGTGAGTCCCCCTCGCTCTGCAGCCCCTTCCCAGACCCTGAAAGCCCCATGCTGTGACTGCCCCACTGCTGACCCCAAACCCTGCTTGAGGCTCTAAACCTCCCCCAAACTCTGAACCCCTCGGGGCTGCCCTAACCCCCCTCCTCCCCCAGGCTGGGACCCTCCCCAAGCCGTGCACCCCCTCTCACCTCCGGATTATAAACCCCCCTTCCAGCCTGTCCCCACAAATGCCTTTTCTTACCCCTCTCACCCCTGGGGGGCCAGACTTGCTTCCCTGCCTTCAGGAGCCCCCCCAGAGCTGCTGGGGGATGCGGAGTGGGTGCACCCAGGGCTGGTCTCTGTGCAGGTCACCGGAACCCCCCGGATCCTCTGCGGGGTGCGGCGCCATGTTCGGCTCCTCCCGGGGCGGGGTCCGGGGGGGCCAGGACCAGTTCAGCTGGGAGGATGTCAAGACAGACAAGCAGCGTGAGAATTACCTGGGTAAGGGCTGACCCCGCTCCAATCCCACCCTGCCATCCTCTCTGCCACGGTTTTGGGGTGTGACGATGCTGAGGGGGGGTCGCTGTTCCCCACAGGGAACTCCCTGATGGCGCCGGTGGGGCGGTGGCAGAAGGGCAAGGACCTGACCTGGTATGCCAAGGGCAAGAAGGACACGGGCCCCCCGTTATCCCGGGAGGAAGAGCTGGCTGCAGTCCGCCTGGCCGAGCAGGAGGCCATGATGGCAGCGCTGTGAGTGCCCACCCCACAAAAACCCCAAAAACCAGCAGGTGCACGTCCACACACGGATCACCTGCCCTTGTTTTTATAGGGGCTACAAGAGCTTGAAGAGGCAGCCCACGGGCCTCAGCAAAGAGGTAACAGGGGCACCACACGTCCCCCCAGTGTCCCCTGGGCTGTGATTGTGGGGACACACACAGGACACTGTCCCTGTGCCCCACAGGACCTGGCTGAGGTGTGCAAGAGGGACGGCGGCGAGCGGGACGAGAAGGACGTGGATCGCGTGGTGGGCTTGGGCAGCTCCAGGTGAGGAGAGGGAAGGATCCCACACCAGTTTCTGAACAATTGGTTTGATTTTAGTGGTTTTATGATTTTTTTTTCTGTGGTTTCTGCAGTGGCAGTGCTGGCAGGTTGATGCTCTCCAAGGAGGACAGAGAGGCAGCCAAGATGGGGCTCTCGGTCTTCACGGTACGGTGCCAGTCACAGTGTCCTTGGAAGGTTCAAAAATAGATGGAAAAAGGCAAAGAGCAGTGCCCCTCACTTGGAATATTTTATCTAAAAAACCATCTGGGTATTGTAGCACAGAGACTGCAGGAGTTTCCTGTGTCCTGTTGGCACAGAGGTCATTTGTGGGGCTTTAATTTTTAAGGGTATTCTAATTTTCCCCCAAAAGTTAATTTAATTTTTTTTCTAAGTTTAATTTTTAAAGGGAGAAAAACCCTTTGTCTTGTAATTACAAGCTCATGGATTCACTCTGTGTTTTTCCCCCTCTCCAACCCTAGCACCAGAAAGTCTCCAGCAGCCCAGAGACATCTGTCTCCAAGAAGAAGCAGGAAAAGGAGGAGAAGGTGGAGGAGAAACGGTGAGGATTTTTCCCACTTTGGTGGGAGACCACCAGAAACGCCCTGGCTTTTATGGGAGATATTTTACAGAATGTTTCCATGGCTCTGTTTGGCACTGGGCTTTTGCATCTCTGAATCATCCCCAAAAGCCTCCGTGGGCTTCTCTTTGGCAAAGGAGGGATGTGGTGGGATGTGCCTGGGAAAAGGGATGGGGATGAGATTTTGGAGCCAGAGGGATGCACAGTGCAGGGATTCTCATTGCTTGATCTCTTCCCTGCAGACCTGAGAGCAGCAAAAAGTCCAAAAAGGAGAAGAAGAAGGAGAAAAAGAACAAGAAAAAGAAGAAACATAAGAAAGAGAAGAAGAAGGACAAGGAGAAGCATTCCAAGAAGGATGCTGCCTCATCATCCTCTGATTCTTCCCCAGATCGGGATAACAGGTAGCTGGGTTGGGCTGGGGCATCAGCAGCGAAAACGGGAGGAAGGATGCCCACTGGCACCTCCTGCCTTTCCAGAAGGGATGCTGGAAACCCCCAGCGCCGCCTTGCTGGCGTCCCCTGTGTCACTGCTGTCATTCCCCGCAGGCACCACGGCCGGAGGGCGCAGCAGCGCTCGGAGGCGCCGCGGCACGGCAGCCGGCGGCGGCACGGCTCGGCGTCCTCGGCGAGCAGCGGCAGCTGCGGCCGGAGCCCCGCCCGCCGGCGCAGCCGGAGCAGGGACGGCCGCGGCCGCCACCCGTCCCCGCGGAGGAAGGGCAGGAAGAGGAGCAGGTCCCGCTCCCCGCCGGCCCGCGGGCTCCGGCAGCGCCACGACACCGACTCGGAGGACTGAGAGGGAGCCTGGGGGTGTTTCAGGGACATCTTGCATAGATTTATATTTTTTAAGTGATTGAATTAAGAAGGCTGTAGCCCCGCGGGTGCCGGGGCAGTGTGGCAAAGGGCATTAAGGCTGTGGTGGCAGCAGCCCCTTCCCTGCCCGCCCAGGGGCAGCAGGGCCTGGGCACCCTTCTCCTCACTCCCAAATCCATCCAGGCAGGATTGTGCGTGGAGGATGCTGTGGGTGAGGGCTGGTGCTGGGGTGGTTCTGGCTGTGGTGCTGAAAATGCTGTGGATACCTCGTGTTTATGGGTAGAGACTTTGGAAGAGATTATTATTATTATTATTATTGTTATTATGATGGGGTTTTGTCTTCTTTCCCTGCCCTCGAGTGCTTCCCAGTGCAGTGGCTGAAGAGTTTCTTTAGATTCCCTAAGTTCATCAGCTGCATGGGTGGGAGTTTAAAGCTCATCCAGTCCAATCCAGGGACACCTTCCCCTGGGCCAGGCTGCTCCAAGCCCTGCCCAACCTGGCCTTGCACACCCAAATAATTCCTCAGCTTCTGGGGAGAAAGTGGATGGGACCAGGTGTCTTCCATGGGCTTTTTCCCTGGCCACATCCCCCCACCCCAGGGAGCAGCAAACTCCATTCCCAACCAGGACTGAAACCCTCAGCACGTGATTGTTCATGTTCTTGGCATGCTGAAAGAGGGGAATTTTACACCAATAAATAGAAATATTGATCCGAGTGGAAAGGGGGTGTCCCCAGCAGCTCCGGAGCATCGCTGCCAAGCACAAGGGCCTCGTTTGTGTAATTAATGATGCAATGGAAGACAGGGGGGGTTTGTGTGTCTTGGTGGACAAAAGCCCAGTGGCACCGTGCTCAGGAGCTCACAAAGCCCTTCTGTCCCAGCAGTGGGAGATGCTGCAGAGCTGTCACAGCCTTCGGTGATCCCCACCCCAAGGCCATTTTTGGGGCTGGCAGCCCCTTGGCACCAGGGCTACAGCTCCTGATCCATCCCAGGGATCCCCAGCTGGGGCACCCCGAGCCTGTGCACTCCCAGGCCAGGAGCTCTGCCCCTGCTGGTGCTCACCAGGCTGAGCTCAGGGTCACCTCCACGGGATTTTGGGATCCAAACTGGCTGGAGCCTGCTGGGAGCACCCCAGAGCAGGACTGTGCCTAATGGGAACTGGGCAACAGGTTGGAAAGGCAGCCATGGGAGAGTGGAAACAGCAGAGCAAGCAGAGAAAAAAAACCACAAATCCCAGAGTCCTGCTCCCTCTGTGGGCTCCCACATCCCATCTTCACCTCCCAGGCTTTGGGATGGGCTGGGCAGGGCCAGGGGCACCCCTGGCTCCCAGCAAAGGGACAGGGTGCTGGTGTGCACCATGGCACGGGGCTGGGCACGGCTGGCCCAGCTCAGTTCAGCTCTCCTGGCCTTCCCTGTTTCACACTCAAACCAAGATCAGTTTGAGAACCACGGGAAGCCAGAACTGAGGGGGCCACAAGTAAAGGAGCCCAGCCCCATCCCTGCTCCCCCCAAAGCCTCCCTGTCTGGCTGCTGCAGTTCCTGGGGCACTGGGCAGGATCCTTTTCCCTGGGCTTGAGCCACCTCCTGCCCAGCTGCTTGCTGGGTGCCCAAAACTCCAGGCTGAGAGCCTGGCACAGAGCAGAGCACAGCTCCCACAGCATCACATTCCCTGTTTTCCACAGCAAATTCTGGATGCAGAGGAGCAGCATCCTAACCCAGCTGGCCCTTCAAGTTCAATTCCCTCCCAGAACAGGAGTAAAGGCTGTCCTGCTCTATTAGGGATGCAAATATCCTGATTCACAGCTTGAGATTCCAAGGTGGATTCCTGGCTTGCAGGAGGTTTGTGATCCCAGTTTGCCCAGTGCTATTTACCCTGTACTCCAGCCCCAGTGTCCCTGTTACCCACCCAGAATCCCAGGTTTTCCCCCAGGGAATTTGCTCTCTAACCTGCAGGACAGACCTTTCACCCTACAGCTTTCCAGCCTGTGGAAAGGGGGATCTGCTGCAGCTCCAGCCAGGAGAGCAGCCTGAGCTGAGCACTGGGGAGGAGCAGCTGCAGCTGACAGGGAAGGCAGGAGGATCACCCGGAGGAGCAGCTCTGTCCCAGATCCAGAGGGAACTGCACAAAGGGAAAATGCAAAACAAAGCACTTAGGAAGGTGGAATTCCTATTTTTCCCCCACAAAACTGCTAATTATGGATGCTGTAATTAACTGGGACCAGCAGGAGGAAGAACCTGTTGGGGGAACTGATGGGGCTGCTCAAGCTCAACAAAGTGACTCCAGTAGAACCCAACAAAGCTCACCCACCATTCCACCTGCAGGGTTCCATCCAGGAATGATTCATTCCTTGGAAAATACAGGAGACAGCCTCAAATTTTCATGGAAATCACGATGTGGCAAAAAGCTGCCTGGATTTGGATCCCCTGCACAAAGATGATACAAACCAACACGATACCAGTGCAAGTTTCATGAAACTTTTTATTCAACAAGTATTTAATTATGATTCTGCCAAGATGATCGAATGAACAGCAAGGCATAAAAAACATGAAATAGTTAAGAGATTTTTATTCTAATAGCTTTAATTACAGTGCTTGTTTGTCGAAATGAAAACTGAAAACAAGTATACAAAACAGTTGATTACTAGTTGTGTATTGAAAGCAATAAAGGTTTCCACAACACTAAATAAACCAGTTCTGATAGTTCCTCGAGTTAAAGTTTAACAGCTCCAGCTTCTTCAGTGTTTATCAAAATACAAAAGAAAAGTAAAGAGGTCTTTTTTTTATTTTTCTGATGGCAAATCTGAACCTTGCAGTATGAGGGATGCCAAGGGTTTTCACACATATACAGATATGGGATTGTTCCAAAATGGGATTGAATACTTGTAGAGTGGAATGACTCTCCAAACTCTCATGCTTTTTGTTTTTTTCCCTAGACACTATACATAGATGTTTGGTGTTTTTCATGGCAATTCTTACGTTGAGTACAGTACTTGCTGCCTATAGAGCTTAGGACTAGGACAGGCTGTGCTTCCTGTGGAAAGGTTTTGCCTCCTGGAGTGGTTTACGCACAAGAAAAGTACAAAACACTTTTTGACAAATATGACAGGCTAAAAATGTCGACTTCTGGAAATGATTCAAGTTCAATGGAAACGAGAAATCTCACCTGAACCAAAAGTCAGATGTTCAGCATGAGTCTGCAAAGCTCATCTAAACCAGGCCCAGCAAATCTTTGAACGGTTGTGAACGAAGATGAGCACAGACTACGAGCTACAGAAAGAGCCAGAGATCTACCACTTATGATCTGTTCGTTAAGCAGATGAAGCTAATTGGGTGTCAGTCATTGCTTCACCCTTTCAAAAGAATCAAGAGTCACCACGTTAGAGCTGGAGCAGCAGAAGCGATGTCAAACGTTTGCGTGTTTTAAGTGTTTTTACTTTTCCTTGTCTATTTAAAAAAATACAGAATTCAGGTTAAAAACCAACCACCAAAATGGATCTCACAGATCTCACAACCCAACCAGGATCGAATCCAGCTCTACTGCACAAGGACCACTGGCAACCCTTACGTTATTAACCCACTGAATTCCCTTCCAGGTACTAAACAGTGACTCGATTCTTTACAATAAAAAAGCTGAGTAATATTGCATAGGAGTACCAGAAACTGCCTCATTGGAAACAAAAACTATTTACATTAAATAAGAAACCTAACTGTTTTCAGGCTTGTATTTGCCACATTTACAGCATGATGCAATATATACTGTGACAAAAAAGAAATGAAAACAGCTTCCGGCACTCAATACCACAAAGTAGCACAGTTTGCCACATTAGAGTAAAGCGAAGGGCGAGTAGGAGGAGATAAGAGGGAGGGGTGGAAAAAGAGGGAAGAGGAAGGTTTATGGTTTCATTTCTGGTTTCGGAGCTGATTGGACAACCAGTCCAGTCCTTCATAGAGACCGTCTCCACTAGTGGCACAGGTGGCCTGGATGTACCAGTTCCTGTGACGAAGAGAATGCAGTCCAAGTTTGTCTGTGATTTCTGCTGCATTCATGGCGTTCGGCAGGTCCTGAGGGAAGCAACAACAGTCATTCCCCACTCCTTCACCACCAGCTTTAAAGGCATTACAAGAAAGTTAAGAGCTCTCAGAACTTCTCTTTCAGAAAGCCCAGTGGATTACTGTGATATTCAGGCTATTCCCCCAACACTGATAAAAGTCTCAAAGGTTTAACAAGCCAATCTAAATCAATATTATGGAATATTTCAGCGCTGATGCCTGGATCCAGCCATTCCCCCATCACTGACACTGCTCACAATTCCAAGTCTGTTTCCACTCAGGAGTATCCCTTCTGTGACTGCAGGTATGATTTAAGATCAACTTTTATCACCCTGTACTACTCTGCTGAGCACAGCTTCTTCAGAGCCCACCTCTCTACCTTTCCTGCTCCTGGACATGACTTGTGGCTCCTTCACCCTTCCCAGCTGAGGCTGTGCAATCAGTGGAGCAGGATGTTATTCCCTCTTTACATTTCCTGGTCACTTTTCAGGCCCTTGACATTTGGGGTTAAGCTGCCAAGACCTCCACAAGCAATAAAAGGCAGAACTCTCAGCTAACTCTGAGGCCTGGCAGAGCCCAGCTCACAGACCAACACAAGCACATTAAAACTCCAGAGCTTCCACAACACCAGCAGTGCCCTCAAAGAGCCTAAATGAGGAATTCAGGGAAGTTCTGGCATTCCAGCATTCCTCTCTGGAGGAAGTTTGGGCAGGTGCTGGAATTGAGCTATGTCAACCTTAAATACCAAACTGGTTTTCACTAAAACCAAAAATCTCTTAGCCAAGACTGTTTAGAAGGATGCTCCTTTCACATGAGAATTAAATCTATGGTTTTCTCCCTTCAACATACCTGAATGGCCATTTATTCCGAGTTATTTATCATAACACTGAAAATACGAAAACCAAGGCCAAGATCTGGCACTCACAAGGATGTTGGAAGTTTTCAAGGGCTCAGACAGACAGACACCTTTTTGGGGCATACCTGTTTGTTAGCAAACACTAATAAAACAGCATCTCTGAGCTCATCTTCTGCCAACATTCTCATAAGCTCTTCTCTGGCCTCGTTCACACGTTCTCTGTCATTGCTGTCAACCACAAAAATCAGACCTAGAAATAAGCAAACAAGAATAAACATAAGCTTGAAGTCTCATGTCTGAGAGAAAGTCTGTTCTTGCTGAAAGTTGGTGAAAACTGGTGTTGGTTTGAATTTGTTTGGGTGCTCTTTTTACAAAACCACTTGGCATTTTCCAGGGAGCAGCAGCTCCTGAGATGCTGTGACAGAACTCAAAGACACGCACATGAAAAAGGCCCAGCAGTGACAGAAGTGACAAACTCCCAGTTCACGGGGCTGCAGAGCTTTAGGTAAAGACTGCTTTGAAGTGAGGGCAGAGCTGTGATGCTGACAGAAGAAAAAAACAAACTCCTGAACTCCTCTGAGTCACAAGGACAAGGAAGACTGGTTTCTGGAATTTTTCCCATCCCTCTTTGAACCTGCAGTGGCTTAAGAGAAAAGCCAGAGCAGCACACAAACACACCTTTTATAATAACAAATATTTCCACTCCCCTCCACGAAACTTGCAAAATTAACTTGGTGAAGACAGCCAAAAAGCTCCTTTAGACTCTGGGAAGCTGGGAATCAGGAGTGTGGGCTCACCTTGTGTGTTCTGGAAGTAGTGGCGCCACAGGGGTCTGATCTTGTCCTGACCACCCACGTCCCACACTGTGAAGCTGATGTTCTTGTATTCTACTGTTTCCACATTGAAACCTGCACAAGAGAGGGTGGCACAAATCTCACTCAAACAGAACTGCTGTATTTAACAGGTCACACTCTCAGACTGTGATCATTTTAAAAAGTTTGCTTAAAATTGGAATTACTTTAAACCAGCAGAACCCTGTGCTGAAGCTCTCAAAGCAAAACCAGCCTGTCCTGCTCCCACCACCCCAATGAACAAATCTAATTGCTACCTGAGTGCTTACAAAAAACAATGTTGCCTTAAAAAAAACCCAAACAAACAAAAAACCCCCAAACAAAAACCCCAAACAAACAAACCCCAAAAAACTTCCCAACAAAGAAACAACCCCCAACAAACAACCTCCCAAACAAACAAAAAAACCCCAAATAAAAAAAAAGAACCCCAAAGAAATGAAAAAAATACCCCAAACAAACAAAAAACTCCCCAAATAAACAAACTAAAAATCTCCCAAAGAAACAAACAAAAAAAACCCCAAAGAAACAAACAAAAAAACCCCCAAAGAAACAAACAAAAAACAACCCCAAAGAAGCAAACAAAAAAAACCCCAAAGAAACAAACAAAAAAACCCCAAAGAAACAAACAAAAAACCTCCCAAAGAAACAAACAAAAAACCCCCAAAGAAGCAAACAAAACCCCAAAGAAACAAACACACCCCCCAACAAACAAAAATACCCCCCCAAACAAACATAAAACAAACCCCAACCTCCCCTGGGTTTTAAGAACTGCAAATCTCAATACCTTCCAATAATAAGAGAACAAAAAAAGGTGAACCCTCTGCTAGTCAGTGTGACATGATGCCAGAACAGCTGGGAGACAAATTGCCTTTCTGTGGCCCACACAGGCTCATTCCCCAAGTGACTGACAGAGGGAGGGGAGTGAGAAAAGAGTCACAATCTCCTGCCATGGCAGAGGATTTGGATGTGCCACGTTCACACCACGGCTTTAGCAAGTGTTTGTTCTGACAGACAAGTCACTTCAATCAGCTGAGACCCAAACCTCCAAGCCAGCAGTCAGAGAAACATAAAACTCTTACCTATAGTAGGAATAGTAGTTACTATTTCACCAAGTTTAAGTTTGTACAAAATAGTTGTCTTTCCTGCAGCATCCAGGCCAACCATTAGAATACGCATTTCTTTTTTGCCAAAAAGGCCTTTGAAGAGGTTAGCAAAAATATTTCCCATGGTTCAGATATGTTCTCACTGGCCAGTGAAGTCTGGAGGGGAAAAAAAAATCAGAGTATCACTCATGAGCTACCAACACTTGTGTTCTGACCACGACACAAAAAAACCACAAAAAACCAAAATAATTCATAATGTGAATCATTTAGACACCCCAGCCACCACTGAACGTTTTTCCTATATTGAAGCAACAAAAAGATAAACCAATGTGCCAAAACTCATGAAATGACTCAGCTTTTAGTGCTTGAAATGCTTCAAATATTCTTTCAGAGATTTTAGCATTAATTGCTGTTCTCAAACTTTTGCTTGCAAGATTCATGCAGCTGACCCCTTCAGGTACTTTGCTCCCCATTGTTATGGGACAGTTTATCTGCAGAAAAGTGTCACCATTAAACAAACTTTTCCTAATTGACCTGCAGATAACGAGTTTTTGCTTAGCACAGCAATAGCTGGTCCTTCTTTTGGGAAGGAAACTCTGCATACAGCTCGGATTTTCTCCTACTCAGAACAGTTTCCTTCCTCTCCATCCCCGAGGAAATGGTCTGTGAACAGCACATAAACACTGAGCAGTTACTTTCATTAACAGACCTTCTGGAGGAAACAAATGCACATTTAATCAAAGTTAACTATGGAGAATGAACAGCCACATTAAAAGAGCTCGTTCAGAGATGAGCACTTCCTTCCCAGCCAGCACTCCTGCCTGGGTGATTGAAGTGATTCCTGTTTGGGAGCTGCCTCTCACTCCAGCCTCAGACACTTCCCTGTGCCCT